CTGCGCCAGCTTCTTCACACTTCAGCAGCTAGGCTATCCTGCGGCAAAGAACTTGCTCTCGAACGGGCGCTTCTTCGCACGGCATCTGCAGGCCACTTGGGCATCTGTCGGTTTGATAGCAGGGGTCGCCACACCTTTGCTCCCCGTGCCCAGCCCAGTCATCTTCAAAACAAGCTCAGCACGCCTGCTGCATCAACACACCTGTTTCCGGCCATCGTGTCCGTAACCCAGATCCACCACTCTGCTGATGATGCTTGCGCTCTTAGAGCTTTGGTCTTTGAACTCAAGATGGTGCAACTCACGCACGCTAGTGGTTCGTTCATCTTGCCCAGCGGCTACGGAGCCAAATGCAACGAAATCATCGCCACGCGCTGTTCCTCTTGGGTGTAAACTTTGATTGCGCAAAGCGACGGGTTGCACACACACACACACTAATCTTCCAGCTGCCGACGCGCGACTGCCAATCAAAAATCGCTGCGGTTTGCATCAGGGCAACCATACATGGACAGACTCAAATGCCCGACCTCGTCCACACCCTCTGTCTTGTCAATGTCGGGAGGTTCAAATTGCACTTGGACTCGGTCCGAGCACATCCACACATTGAAGAAAATCACCATCCCTCTGGACCACTGTCATAATTGAAACACAGCCACCATGGCTTTTGCTTGGCTGCGCTGGCACATGAGTTGGGAGCAAGGAACACCAGCTCTACAGGGCTTTCCAAGTTCGTCAACAGAGTTCGCTGCCACCCCGTTGGCGTCGCCTTTGCCCGTGTTTTTGGAAGGACAATCCTTGTCATAGCACGTGAGTGGCTCAATCGGCGGGTTGCCTCCTCCAACCTCTGGCATCAACCTGTACGGTGCGGCCACGAGGCTATCTTCGTGCAGACGTGAGGGCTCCCCCCTTGCTGTCAGTAACTGCTCACGCCGTTTCAGGGCCTCTTGACAAACCAGCTCTCCAGTGCGCCGCCCAGCTCGTCAACAAGGGACGCAACATGTTGCGCTGCTGATGTCGGATCATACTCACTGCGCCAACACTGGAACAAACTTTGTCTGCATCCCCAGTAGTAAAGCAGACCAAGTAGGCGGTTGTCAGGAATCTGACGACCTGCACCAGAACGAGGCGACCTGGAGTTCGCGAGTCTGCCGGAAACTCACCGCAGCGCCTCTTCTACACCTTGTGAGTTCGTTCGGCAATCGCTCACTCTTCCCGCTGCGCTTGGCTCCTTTAGCGCGGAGCAGCTCCGACTCACCAGGTCGCAAGCCGCGCAAGGAAAGCTCGATCTTCCCCTGCCTGTGTTGCTCTCTGCTGCGCTTGTGTCAAAAGCTGGCTCGTCTGTGCAACTGCAAAATTGCTTGCTAACTTTTCGCCACAGCCCTTGTCTGCTCAAGCTTTTTCCGGAACTCTTCTCCACGCTGCCAGCACCACCAAGCCACACTAGCACACCCTCTGGTCCCAAACCGCACCAGAACGCCTCGACACCATGAAAGATTCAGAACTGGAAATGGAGGTCCGGGCCACATGATTCGGACGGGTATGCTCATGAAAGGAGTGCACAATTTTTACAGGGGTTCGCGTCGCACTCTTCCCGAACAATGCTGCGGTCAACGCGCGTGAAAGGAGTGCACCAAGAGCCGAGACGAAACTCCGAGAGCAGCATGACAGCACTAACCTAGATGAACAACAATCAACGGGTCATGCCCACAATTTGAAGGAGCAGGAATTTTCCATGCCCCCAGAAAAGTTGATGCCTCAGTAGTTGACAGGGCTGTGTGAGGGGTCACTGACCTCATGGGTTCATGTACGAAACTAACAATCTGTCGATTCCCTGGCCAAGGTTGCGGCCAGGGGCTGTGTGGGCAGTCTTGCCACCGTCCCGGCCTCATGCTTGGCCCAACACTGCTTAGTCAACTGGGTCCCCCGAAAACGGGAAAGCTCACCTGGAGCTGCGCAGTTCTGTGAATCTCTTCAGCGCAGCAAGCAAGCGTACAAGCAAGCACATAAGCAAGCATGCAAGCAATCGTGCGTGCAAGCAGGAAAAGCAAGCGCAAGAGCAGGTGTGTCAAAATAAGGGGCACCCAGGATGGTAGTGTCCACCTAAAAAACGAGTTCCTCGAAAAGGGCAGCAATATCAAGCACAATAAGAGCGAGTCAGCGGACACACAAGAGCAAGATCGTGCAGAACAAACAGCACACAGCAAACAGCAAACAAGCAACCGACATCCCCTCCGTTCCGGGCAGCCCAGTGCCGACTGAAGCTCTGTGCCAACAAAACAAGTCGTGGATGGAGGGCACACCTCATGAACACGTTGTGTTTGTGTGCCTGGGGCTGCTGAGATAGAATAAAGGAAGCTTGGACAAGCAGCTGACCCTGCGATACGCAGGATTCACGGAAGGGTGTGCGGGATCAACACAGCACGGCATCCACGCAATGCAGTTTCGGGGGGTCACTGCATGTGTCCAGAGGAAGTTGCACATCAAGCATCTTGGCCCTGCTGCTGTGGAACTACACTTCCTACCCCGCACTTGATCTAATGCATGTGTGGAAACGGGTGAATACCATCTTTTCAACACAGCGAATCTTGACCAGTGTCCCAAACAGCCAACCCCGTCAACAGACCTCCAACTTTCTTCAATCTGGTATGTGTTTGGATCGAAAGCATCGAGCAAGTGGACCTAGGTAATCTAAGCCTAGTTTTGTGGTTGAATTCCACGTCTGCCTTCCCTTTCGCGGAGCACATCGCGCCAAAAAAGGTTGCGCGGAGCTTTCGCGGCTACAAGCAACCCGGTGTTCAAAATTAGCCCTTTCGTGGCCCCTTTGCGAACCTGGTTCCTTGCATCCGTTTGACGAAACTTTCGCAGCCCTGTGACGGCGTGTGTTTTCCATTCGTGCAGCAACTTTCCTAGCAACCTTTACTCATTTTTCATCGGGGTTTTGAACGCTAGTTTGGCCTGCTGCCTCAAGGCCCCAAGAAACAGAACTTCAAGGACTTGCCTTGGGGGAGAGAGTGCGCCAGCTGGGGCCGAAGACAATGTCCAGGCACCAGAGCCAGCCCCCGGCGTCAGCAATGAAGACCTCGTTTAAGGATCAAATGGGTGTTTCTGTAGGGTGTGCTGTATACATTTCCGATTGAGCGCCGGCATTGTTCAACCAGGTTTTGGCGGGTTCTTGTGCTCTTTGAAAAGACACATGCCGAAATAGCCATAACTTGGGGACATTGCAGCCAGGCAGCCAAAGAATCTCCGTCACCGAACTCCCCAAGCTCTTCTGCAACCTCGGGCCGAATCAATTCCTGAAACGGGCATCCTGGCTGGGGCAAGCGTCTTAAGGCAGAAGCCAACTGCGGCCAGGCGAAAGCCCCCGTACGTAGACAAAACAAAGTCATAGGGTTCCTTCTCTGACCTCAGCCCCTCGCCCGACACCCTCCCAGCTTTGGCGCTCTGGCAGAATCCTTCGCGTTGCGGAGAGCCTCTGCTGCAGCCTACAAGGACCACGACGCCTACGTGTTGAACATCTCTTCGTCCGGCGCTTGGCTCTTTCCGCCTCTGTGTCTCATTTTGAAGCTTTCGCGTTGCATCCCATTGCCAGCATCACGGGTTTAACCTCATGTTGCGTTCACAAGGACATTCAATTAGACAACATGGATGAGTCTTTCTCTTGTGAATGCAGATTGAACATTATGAGCCCTCCTGGTTGCTGTGGACATCTTCTCCCTGGCATTGGCGCAGCAAGTTCTCCTCACACGTGTTACCTAGTCGAGATGCTTGCGCAAAACCTCATGTCTCATGTTTGCCAAAACGCAGGCCATCCTTCAACCATTTTGCTGCGCCTCACTGCCTCTCCACTTGTGAGAATGAGTGTATGTGTATGAGTATACAGTAGAGATGTGCGTAAATATCTGACACTGTACACCTATACATGTGTAGGGGGTGTTTCAAAGCTGTGAGGTTCCAGAGGTCCCCGCCAGACCCCGAACATTGGTTTAAAGTACCAAACTGGTTTGGGGTAAAAAGAATATTTACAAATATTCTGTTTAATAAAAATGTTTTTAAAGTGCTTGAAAAAAGGCATCGAGGCAACCAGGCTGCTAAAAAAGGGCGTGTGTTATGGTTGCAGTGTCAGCGGTCAACAAAACAGGGGCAAACTGACTCAAAAGCGTAGTTTGTTAGCATCGCGGCTGTGAAAGGAAGACTGGCAACACCTGTTACACCTGTTGACAGCACGAGAAACATGTGGCCCCTTTGCGGTTACGGAACGGCGTTTCTCTGCGAAAAGCCACGAACCGCTGCCCGCCACGCGCTCTTTTACCCTACGCAATCTACTATCTACAAAAAGCCCCGCGCAGCAAAACCTGGCCAGAGGCCTCATGGCACGTCCGCAGACAGCTACAGACCAGGGTTCTGAAAGAAGCGAGACTCTTCTAGCACGGGCTCCTCAAGTCTAGAAACAAGGCGTGCCGCCTACGACGCCGGCGGGGAAGCAAAAACTGCTGGGGCGTCGCTCATGACCTTTTGCCTCGTACCCTAGGCCGCACATTGGCTCATGTTCAGAGAAAAGTTGGCTTCTTGCGCTTGCGTGACATGCTTTGAACCGAGCCCCGGCCCTTGCAGTACGCGAGCCTGCCTGAAAGACTTTCAGCTAGCCTTTAGCCCGATGTAGAAGGCCCCAGTCCTGTCCAAGGCCTCGCGAAAAACTGCAAAAGCTCGTCGTAGATGTCTCTGACCACCCGTGCGGCTCCGTCTGGCGGCACACTGGGCGCGAGATCTTAACGCGGCCCAGAATGGACGCCCCCTCTACAATTCCGGCTATGTGGTCCACGTGCGACCAGGATTTGATCTGCCTGCACTAGTTATAACCTTGCCGCTGTTTGGTGGCTTCATGTGTATATAGCGCGAACTCAACACCCGTGCCGAGAATGCGTTGTGGAAAAAAAGTACTGCCGCGGCTGCCGCCCGAGTAACTTAGGGTGAACTTATAAGTTCGTTTTAACTGGCATAAGTTAACTGCATCATAAGTAACTTATAAGTTAGATAAGTAACTTATAAGTCCCGTAAGTTATTTCCTGCATACTGGTAGCGACTGCTGGCGACCAGCGCTTGGAAATGCTGGGCAAGGAGCTCCGCTGACGTAAAGGTCACAGGCCGGAGCGCTGGAGTTGTCCCGCGAGGTGATGTCATCGCACACCTTTTCCTGAATTTTGAATTTGCTATTGGGTTTAAGCAAGCAGAAACCACAAAAACTTTCGTCTAAATCTAAACGAGGAGCTGGCGTGTCTCCAAAATGCGCGTGCAACTGCAAGGCCATTTTCCTCCTGGTGGGGTCGATGTGCTTGGCTCAAGGTTCCAGCCCAGCAAGAATCACAATTACGCTAGCTTTTCAAACGGAGTGACGCAATGCAAGCAGGCGGCCGAAATGAAAGCAGCGCTCACCCGAATTGACTGGCCGAAGGCCAGCTTCAAGCTGACAAAGTCGGAGGACAAACCCGAGCAGCCAGACCCAAGTCGGACCACAGACGGAGCCGCAGCCCTTTCTCCAGTTTCGCGGCCAAGGCAACTGTTTGCGGCTTTCTTCTCAAGCTGCGCAATCAAGGCTTCAGCAAACTTCCTTAGCTCGCAAAAACGCAGCTCGTTCAGTCAAGCCTTGACAGGCATCACTGCTGACAGACTCTGATTGAAATTTGAAAGCAAGGATCCTTTGGTCACTGTTCGTAAGCCTACTTTGACATGCTGCTACTCTTGGGCATGTACTGATCTGCAACAATTTTCAGAACAAGCCGCCCGGCAAGAAAGACAAAACATGAGCAATGAGGCACTCGCAGGGGGGATTGAATGTCCTCGTCACCACTCACTTGCAGAACCTAGGCGCTGCAGTCACAATTATTTTACACCGCTCTGAAGTTTGTGTCGCTCGTCATTGTGATTCAGATTGAAGGTCAATCCAGTGACTCGAAGCCCCGAAAAAAGGTGTCCTTTTCGCCTAGTCTTCAGCTCAGCAGCTTCCAATTTACATTGATGCCTCTGCTTAACTACATAACCCAGCAGTAAGTTTCAATACTTGTTCAAACCACCCCCGCCGTCCCCTAGCCGGGCCTCGCAGGGACAAGACCCTAGTAAGGCCCGGCGCAAGGACGGTGTTTCACCCACGACGTTGCGCCGCCGAAAAAAACATATTTAATAGTTGATCCGCCGCGGGAAGTCTGGGCAAAGCGTCTTGAACAAAAAGCAGCCAGGATTGCTGCGGCCTAGCCTAGTATGCTCACTGACTGGCCGAGTCTGATTCAGAATCGGCAATCAGCTGGGAGGCCGGCGGCGCGTTGCCAGTCGGTTTTTCCTTCTTCTCTTTGGCTTCTTAGGCTCCGGCTCAGGCGCCGGATCTCCGGGGGCGGGCGTCGGCCGCTTTGGCGTCTTCTTGCCCTTTTCGGCTTCGGTAGTCGCATCCTTCTTGCCAGCTGCCGCCCACTCAGGCGCGTAGAACGTAGACCCTTCTGTCTGCATCTGTTGCTTGACAAACTTGACCAGCTCACCCTGGAGAAGCGAAGCGTGAGTCTCTGTCATGGTCAGGGCCATGTAAGGAATCCTCCGCAGCAAGGCCGCCTTGGCCAGATCTCCTGCGCCTGGCGTGCAATCCAGCACGCCTGTGATCTCGTACGCGGCCAGGGCGTCTGAGCACAGCGTCACCGGCAAGTGGTTGAAGAAGGCAGGCTCATAAGAGTCACCGTCTTGCTGCTGTTCTTCATTCTCCTTTGGGTCCTCGGCAGAATCTGCGCCCATCATCTTGTCTCCGTACATCTCTTTCCTGACAAACTTCGGGCGACGCAGATGATTGAGGCCCCCAAACATGCTACTATGGCACGGTTAAATTTGAGTCGGGCTGCTTATTGTTCACAGTTAAAGCCCACTCATCCGAAGCGCTGCCCAAGCCAATCCAGCCGACGCAGTACCCAGGGTTGCTTGGCCAGCTTTGCAGCTGCTGCGGAAGGAAAGGAAATGCCTTTTGGCAAGCAGCTACCTGCCAGATAAGTGCTCTCCCACGTCTCGCGCCTTCTCCGCCATATAGCCGCAAAGACTGCAGCGTCGCTGCCGCGGGTCCTCCTCGTCCTGGATCAGCTTCATGTCATTGTTTTTCGCCGTTGGCTTCTCACTCTTAGCCGCCTTGACGATCTCCACGCTGAACTCGTCGGCCTTGGCGAATGCCAAGTCGCATTCCAGCTCCATCGCGAGATTTGTGTCAGATGTGCGCTTGCATCTAAGTTAAGTTACGTTGGCAACTGACTGCGCCCTCTGGTGAACCTGCTGCGCTGGGACTGTTGGCCAAATGGCTGCGTGATTCCCCACGCCCCGGTGAGTCATCGCTCGCAGCCATGGAGGGCACACACGCGGAAGAATCCGACGGGATTACTGCTGGCTAAGGCCAAGGCTTGACAAGCTGAGCCCTGAGTCGCCCGGATGCAAATCGACGGGTGGCTTAGGGCTGGCTTGACAAGCCCTGAATCGCCTAAGTTCAATTCGACCGACTTAGCTGGCCAAGCGCAGCCGACAGGCAACTTATTGCCAAGGCTTGGCAAGCCCTGAGTCGCCCGGATGTAAATCGACGGGCGACGTAGGGCTGGCCAAGGCTTGGCAAGCCTTGAATCGCCCAGACTGGCCAATGCCAAGTCTTGACAAGCCTTGAGCCGCCCGGATGGAACTCGACGGGCGGCTAAGTGCTGGCCAAGCCGAAGTCGCGGCAATTGCCTTGAATCGTCCAGACGCAAATCGACAACGCCTTCAACAACTTGGACAACTTCCTGCAAAATGAAGCGCCCGCCAAGCCAAAACACGCACAGAGTCTGCCACGAAGCGTTCAACGATTGCCTTAGTTTCAAAATTTGACAAAATTTGGCAGGGCAGGGCCTGAAACTGCCTGATAAAGCGCCATCAATTCTGCCCATTCCCTCTTTTAATTTGCTACATGGGCGGGAGGTTCTGAATTGCGTGTCTAACTGCAAATGTTTGACAAGTCCGCCGACTTTTCCCTTTCAAGGCGCTGTCGCGCAGGGTTGCCGATGGTCTCGCCGAGCAAGTTACTCAGCTGACGATTCCGACATGTTAAGGAAACCAGTCTTTGACCGGTGGATTCCGCAGCTAAGCGGTCAATCAATTACTTGTCAATTTCTATTTTGTTCATTGGTAGATGCGTAGGGAGGGTGGACCAAGTATGGTTTCTTTTGGTGGGCCAGATGTTTGTTTGGTGTACTCCAGAAATGGGGTCAAGTTTCACGCTGGGCAAACTACAACGAGCTTACCCCACATGTCATCCTCTTTAAATAAAATTCCCCCAGACTGTCTAATAATAACATTGACCGAAAAAACACCGCCGCCAGCTCAGCCAACGCACTCACCAACCAGCGGCAGCAGCCCGGTGGCGAGTCGCAAGGTCGACGCTCTTAACCATCTCACAGAGGTCAGAGTAGGGCCAAAACCGCAGATTCATCACCATAACGGCTACGAAACGTGAAAACCCAGTCCAAGTGCCAACGATGTTCGTCACCCCGAAACTCGCCTCGATGTAGTCGCCGGTCGTCGCCGCATTGGTCATACACCTTCCGTGCGTGGGCCAAAGAAGGCGGAGTGCCAGCGCCAAAGCGGCATTGCCTCAGTCAGGGGGCGACGCGAAAAAACTACAATCGAAACAGCCCGAAGCAAGACGCCGCGCAACAACCAAATCAAATAGAATGTGTGACGGTGCAATCACAAATGACAATGCAATGGTGGCAAGGTGCCTGGGTCTTCTGCTTCTACCCCAGGTCGGCACTGCAGTGTCCCATAATTGCTCAACCACTTGATGGTGTTGCGCCCCAAATTGCACCAGCGCTCCATCCATGAGTCCAGCCAGCCTTGGTGCGTGCGTGTCAATCTTCTCGTCAGAAGCACACCCGCACTGTTTACAGCCCAAATTGCCATGAATGTAGGGGTCAGAAGACCTCCGTTGCGCGGGCCGCCTTTGGCTGAACGACTGAGCAGCGGGGGCATAACATCTTAGCGGCCGGCAGACCTGAGCCTGGCTGAGCGGTGGCCAAAACTGCTGCGGCGGCGCGTCAGTCACATTCAACTCGACAACATGCCGAAAATGGATGCGCGTGGCAACAAATTTGTGGCTATATGAATTGGGTGTTTAAAAAGATGGTCCTCAAATAATGATAGGTAATTATTGCCAATTAAACGAGCGACCTTGACCCGTGAACATGTAACTAACTCCTGTCTCGTTGTTTTTTAAAACATCATTTAAACTTGCTACACCGTAAAGTTTTCATTAATTAAGCCAGTGCAAGGTACATTTTTTATCCAGCCTTTACAGTGCCCGGATGGAAAGCAACCAAAGCAACCGTTATACATCAGCAAGATTACCGGGTCGGCGGCAGTATGCGGCAGCCCTGTACAGCTTTGCTGTAGAGCCTTGCTCCAAAGGGCAATCCAACACAGCCGTTCGGCCAGTGGCCATTGCACCCTCTTCGAAGCGCCAGGAAGTTGGGGCAACTGTCTGGGGTGGCCACGTGACCACTTTGCCGTTTCAAGCGGTTGTGGCTAGTTCATCTCGCTAAACTTTGTTGGCCAGCACCCCTGCGTCGCCAGCGTCCTCCAACCTTCTCAACTGCAAAAGCTTCCAAATGCCCATCAAAAAAGCCAGGTAGTGCGCCCGCTTGCGCATTTTGAGGCTTGCAGTCTTCTCATGGGTTAGCCATGTCAGTTGCACTTGATCTAAGACGCACAAAGGAAGCATCTTCAGAAAACAAGATGCTTGCAAAAAACGAGGACCCCAAAAAATCTTGAGAAAACTAAAAAACCTGTGTGTTTTTGACAACTCTACATTTATTTAGTATTGCCACCTCTGACTTTAGCATTGCCAGTTGCAAAGGAACATTGCCAGGCCGTTCTTTCAGATTCCCTGCGATGAACTTAATACATACTGAAACTCTAGATTTGGCATTGCCAAGACTTCTTCTCAGATTTAGCAGGTTGCAAATTTTAAACTGAATGTTGCTAAGACTTGTTCTCACACTCCCAGACAACGCAGTCACACAGATACAGACACACGGACACACGGACACACAGACACACAGACACACAGACAAAGACACAAACACACAGACACACAACCGCAGCCTTAAGTGGTTTCCGTGCTTTTCACACGTCCTCCCCAAGCAGGGCTACTGTTTTCGTTGGCTTTTCCAAATGAAAACAATTGTTTTGTTCCTCGAGAACTACTTTCAAACCGGCGCACTGCTTTTTCCCAATCAAACACCGACAGCGCTCCTTGTCAGAGGAGAGCCTTTAACAAGCAAAAACTCGCTAAGGCTTTGAGCACCTAACTGGAAAACCTGGCGTGGATACAGCGCTGAGCGGGCGCGCGTGAGCTGGTGTTCTTACCATTTGGCAGGCATGGACATTGCTGAGCGGGTGCGCGTGAGCGGGTGTTCTTACCAGGCATGGATACAGTGCTGAGCGGGTGCGCGTGAGCGGATGTTCTTACCATTTGGCAGGCATGGATATCAGTGCTGAGCGGGCGCGCGTGAGCGGGTGTTCATGGGTACAGTGCTGAGCGGGAGCGGGTGTTCTTACCATTTGGCCGGCATGGATACAGCGCTAAGCGGGCGCGCGTGAGAGGGTGTTCTTAGCATTTCGCTGGCATGAATACAGTGCTGAGCGGGTGCGTGTGAGCGGGTGAACCATGAAAACGTCAAAAGTCGCGAGAAATATCAGCATTTGCAGCTGAACTCGGAACAGGAAAACACACACGAAATAATTGCATTTTGATCCACGGCGGAATATGAGCCGTGGACCAACTACTGCTAAACTCTTGAGCATGCCTTTGACGTTCTGCGTAACCCGAACGACTCGATCCCCAACTTCTCAGAACAATCTCAGGGTCACAACCTAGCTAGCCTGCGCAAAGGCTGTTGGGAGCTTCAAGCAAACCTGGCTCACACAAGAAACCGAGAACCGTCGACGCGCGCCGTGTCACCCTGCATCAGCATGTTGGGCGCCGACGCTGGTAGCCTGCTGCGATCACGACCACTTCCAGCGCAGGGTGTTCTACCAGTTTGTGTTGGTTCGCGTTCCATCACCCTTCCCGAGACGCTGAACATAGTTGCGGAAACCATGGTTGGCGAAACCGGGGCGAACCAAAAGATGGGTGCCAAGTATTCTCCAAACTGTAGCAAAGCATGTTCAAAGAAAAGGCCGCTCATGTTTGGCCCCATAGAACCCCAAGCAACCTCCTACGACGCGCTACGGCCACCTTGGCATCTCCGCGAAGCGTCTGGCGACGACATTGGCGGCCTTGCAAGTCTGCGGAGTTGTTGGATAGATCAACAAACGCCGCTTGGCAAGAAAGGTTATCAGGCACCAACGACTTCTACACCTGACAGCACTTTCAATGTGCGCGCCACATTGGCGCTGCCAAAAGACTCATCGAAAAACGGCGCATCTTTGTCGGTTGGTGCAAAGTTGGGAGAAGGCCCAAGACCGTGATTCCAAGACGTTCTTGCGCAGGACACGGTTGCGTAAACACCTTGAGGTGTTCGACTCCCCCCGGATCCATTTTTGCACCTCATCAGCACCTCCGCAACATCGCCAGCATCACTGGCTGACATTCTGGACAACAGGACCATGAAGAGTCCCTGATCGTGTCTTGTAGCGTCCAAGATATTCAGCCCCTACGATGTTTAGAGGCTAAGCCATGAAGTTGTTTAGTTCTTTGACGCCACTGGGGTTTGAAGATTTTAAGCCATTGAGATGTTAAGACTTTAAGCCATTGAGATATTAACACGTCAAGCTAGGAAGATTTTAAGATTTACTCAATTAAGATTCTATTGATTGAAGCCATTAAGAATTGAAGAGTTTTTGCAAACAAAAGCTTGAGGGCTTAAGCCATAAAGATGTTAACGCGTTAAGCCACTGAGATCTTCAGATTGTAAACGCGGTAAGCCACTACGATCTTCAGATTGTAAGTCATGCAGATCTAGAGTTTGATCCATGGAGATTTTCAGGGTTTCATCCATTAGGACGTTCGGACTGTAAGCTATTCAGATTTCAACAAATATTTTCAGACTTTTGCCATTAAGGCTTTTCAAAGTTTAGCCCATTAAGATTTCGAGGTTTTGCAATGGAGAATTTCCAGTGCCGAAGTCAGCAAGGTCCAAAGCGGTAAAACTAACGAGAGAACTCTCAAGGGAGTCAACGAAAATCCCATCCCCGAAGGGAACAAATCCAACCGGAGAATTTCAGGGGGCAAGTTCCGAAGGAGTGGCCTCAAAGGAAAGAGTCCAATGGGAAAACTCCAAAAAAAGTTTCAACGGAGAATTCTGATGGGAACAAACTAGAGGGAGCCTCCCAAAATAAATTCCAGAGGGTTTCGTGGCAGGCGCAGCGATTTGGACATGTCGCGCTATAAGTTTCCCTTTCGGCCCCAGTGGAAGCCTCCCTTTGAATGTTTCGCGTTGGAATCTCCTCGTTGCTTTGGAATCATCCCAGTGGAAGTGTCCCTTTGGAATCTTCCGGTTATTCTCCCATTGGACGTCTCCCTTTGAAAGTTTCCCGCTGGAATCTTCCCAGAAGTGTCCTTCTGGAATTCCCCCTTTGTGGTTTTCCGCTTAGTTTCTGCCCTCTAGGTTTCACCCAATAAAAGTCTCCCTTTGGAATTTGCCTGCAGTATTTCCTCCTTGGAGTTTCCCCATTGGAATTCCCTTTGGGGGCCCACGCGTGCGAGAGACCCTGCCAGGGAGTGAGCGTGAGTGTGTGTGAGTGTGAAAGTGAGTGAGAGAGCACATCAGAGTGCGAATGAGTGAGTGAGTGAGTGAGTGAGTGAGTGAGTGAGTGAGTGAGTGAGTGAGTGAGTGAGTGAGTGAGTGAGTGAGTGAGTGAGTGAGTGAGTGAGTGAGTGAGTGAGTGAGTGAGTGAGTGAGTGAGTGAGTGAGTGCGAGTGAGAGTGGGACTGAGAGTGAGAGAGTGAGTGAGTGAGTGAGTGAGTGAGTGAGTGAGTGAGTGAGTGAGTGAGTGGAGTGAGTGTGTGCTGGGACTGAGAGTGAGAGAGTGAGTGAGTGAGTGAGTGAGTGAGTGAGTGAGTGGGTGAGTGTGTGCTCGTCAGTAAGCGAGTGACTGAGTGGGTGGGTGGGTGAGTGAGTGAGTGCGTGCGTGCGTGCGTGAGTGAGTGAGTCAGTGAGCGAGTGACCCGACGGAGTGGTGTGACAATCCTCAGCTCCTTGATGAGTTTACGCAACAGAGCAGGATTGAGTGTAGAGCGCCGCCAACCTAGCTTTTGGAGTCGCCAGGGCTTTTCAGCCAGACATGGGTTGGCTGAAACGTTTGCTGCTCACGACGGAAAAGGCTTGAGAACCTATGTTGGCAATTCTTCACAAGCCGGCGCGGGTTGCTTTGGGGCAGGTTTGGGTTTGGTTTCGGGTTGTTTCGGGTTGGCCCACCGAAGTGCGCAGCGGTCCCCACAGTGCCCACATGTGTGCCTGCGGCGTGGGCGGGGGAAAAAGGCTTGGCTGGACGCTTGCAACCGCCGCTGGGAGAGCCAAGAGGAGCAGGCGCCGTCGTCAACATTGTCAGCAACGTCCGCGGCCAACACGGTTTTGGAGGATGAAAAATGGTCGGAAGTTATGGTTTAGGGTTTGTGGAGATGTGCAAGAGTAGCAGCGCTAGAAGAGCAATAGGGGAGCACTGGATGACTGGCGAGAACTGTCGGGGGTTCACCAGAAGAGAGGAGCAGAGCAGCAATAGAAGAACAATTGAACAGTAGGAGAGGAGCTAGCACTGAGGAGCAGTGGAGGATCGCTGGACGTTAAGCACTAAAGGAGCAACAGAAGATTACTGGCCGAGCAGTTGAGGAGCACTTGAGCAGAGAGGATCACTGGAGGAGCTTTAGAGCACTTGCAGTTGCGGCTGCAGCAAGGAGGACTAGAGTTGGGGAGGCGTTTAGAGGAGCCGTGCAGAAGTGCTGGAACAGCAGTAGAGGAGCACTAGAAGAGGAGGATTCTTGAGGAGGACTAGCTGTAGTGTTTTTTTTTCGGAGGTTGTAGCGAGGAAAAAAGGCAGGGGTGAGGAGCAGGCGCTGGAACAGCTGATAGGGGGTAGAGTAGCAGCACGAAAGGAGAACTCGTCACTCTTCCATAAAACGCGGGAGCGCGAGAGGACACTAGAGGAGCAAAAAACCAAGTACGAGCACGGGCAGAGCGCTAGAAGCGCTAGAGAACCGACGCGCTAGAGGAGCAGCAAGCACGCGCAGACACGAGCGCTAGCAAAGCGCGCGCCAAGCACTGCAGGAGGACTAGCTGAGCACTAGTACAAGAGAGCGCTGGAAGAGTACCCGGCAAGCGCTACAGGAGCACTGGAAGATCACTAGAAGATCACTAGAGGAGCACTAGTGTCACTAGAGGATGACTAGAGGAGCAAAAAGGATCGGAAAAAAACGCAAAAAAAACACAAAAAACTAAAAACGAACAACAAGGTAATGCCACAAAAAGCCTTGGAACGCGCGTGAGTTTCTCGCAAGGACATGTTGCTCAACACAGCTGACAGCTTGCACAGCAGCAACAACAACAACCGCCACCACCAGCAACAACAACAGCAACAGCAACAACAACAACAACAGCAACAGCAACAGCAACAGCAACAGCAACAGCAACAGCGCCAGCAACAACATCACCAACAACACCACCAACACCACAACACCAACGACGACGATGACGACGACGACGACACCCACACCCACACCCACACCCGCACAAAAACCAAAAAAACAACCACAAAAACAAACGCAAACACAACAACAAACACAACCACAAAAACAACCACAAAAACAAACACAACAACAACAACAACAACAACAGCAACAGCAACTACTACTACAACATCGACGACGACAACAACACCAACAACAACAACAACAACAACAACAACAACCACCAACAACAACAACAACCAACAACAACAACCGCCGACCAACAACAACAACAACAACCCCAACAACAACCCCACCAACAACAAACAACCAACAACAACAAACAACAAACAACAAACAACAAACAACAAACAACAAACAACAAACAAACCAACAAACCAACAAAGCAACCAACAAACCAACCAACAAACAAACAAACCAACAACAACAAAACCACCACCACCACCACCAACAACAACACCAACAACACCAACAACAACAACAAAAACAACAAACAACAATAACAGACACAAGCAACAACGACAACAACAACAAACACCAGAACAACAACCAACAACAACAACCAATCAACAAGCAACAACAACAAACAACCACCAACCATCAACCAACAACAAACAACAAACAACAAAAACAACAAACAACAAACAAAAAACAAACAACAAATAACAAACGACAAACAACGCGGCACAAACAACACAACACCAACAACACAACACAAGCAACACCACACAAGCACTACAAGCAACACAACAACAACAACAACAACAACAACAACAACAACAACAACAACAACAACAACAACAACAACAACAACCACAACAACCACAACAACCACAACAACCACAACAACCACAACAACCACAACCAACAACAACCAACCACAACCAACAACAACCAACAACAACCAACAACAACCAGCAACACCCAACAACAGACAACAACAACCAACAACAACCAACAACAACCAACAACAACCAACAACAACCAACAACCACAACAACCACAACAACAACAACGACAACATCGACAACAACAACCACAACCACAACAGCAACAGCAACAGCAACAGCAACAACAATAAGAACAGCAACAACATCATCACCAACCAGCACGACAACAACAACGACAACGACAACAGCAACAGCAACAACAACAGCAGCAGCAGCAGCAACAACAACAACAACAACAACAGCAACAACAACAGCAACAGCATCATCAACAACCAACACGACAACAACAATACCAACGACAACGACACTGACAAGGACAACAACAATAACGACAACCACGGCAACAACAACAAAACAACAACAACCGTGACAACGATATCGACGAGTACATCGTCAGCACCAACCCCACCTAGAGAGCCGAGAGTGCTATCCTACAAGCCTTCCTACGAAAAGGCTTGTCTTGGCCCGCACGATTTGGCAAGATAACACTCTTGGATAGATGAGCCTTCTCGCGATATTTTCTTTGATTTTGGGAGTCTACTGCGCATTACGCCCAAAATAAAAAGTTTGTGTCACGTTTCTCAGAGAGAATGTCACTTTTTCTGCGCCCTTGCTGGCCTGAGCCTTTTGACCTGCTTTACGCG